TTGAGGATGAAGTTAGTGACGGCACCGGAGAAAGCGATCACAGTGCTCCGAGTTGCGCAACCGTCATAAACCCACTGCTCCGAGCCGAACATGCTTCGAGCCGTCATTTCGATACGGCCCCGCACCGCCGCCGTATGACCCATCAGGCGTTGCCGAACTTCTTTCGATAAAATACGATTTTATCGGGAAAGGTGTGAATATTTCTCTACTACTTTTTCAGACGATCTCGCTCGCAATTTAATCTAAATTATCGGAAAATTTCAAGGAAAAACGCTCACGACTTCCTTCCAAAATAAACGTTTTAAAAAAGGGAAATTTGGCAACGTTCGAACGATCATACGGCGTTCTTCTTTAGGACGGCCGGTATGGCTACTGCACTGGGTCCCGGCATTAGCGTGCGTCGCACAGTGAATCGGAAATCCAAGGACTTGGGGCTCGTATCACTTTGGTCAAATCCCAGGCTCCAGACATAGGACTGCGGGCTGATTATTGAAGTTGATAGACAAAGCTATGGACATAGATGACAAAGGGGAAACGGACCGATCCATTGGTTGAAATGGTTGGTTGATGTAGACTTACGGAGAAAATGATGGACTAATTTTAGGGTAGGGTATCTCGTGGGTTGCCGTTAGTTAGTCGATAACTTGCCTCCCTCGTCCAATGCAATCATCTGATTCTACCCATAAGATCGCTCTATTTTCGCGTCTTCTTCTATATCTATCGTTATATCTATCAGTTTGAATAATCAGCCAGCAGAAGAAGTTCGAAGTAGACCGTTGGACAAGTGCACGAATTAAAGCGCCAAGAATCAAAAGCTACAATCTCAGTCCGGTGTCGAACTATTTGGCAGATGTTCGAATTATGAAAAATAAGTAATCAGTAAGACTTGAGGCGAATTTTATTCAGAGGTTCGTACTACTTTTGCGCCCGAACCTCCGAGCTGCCATTTTATGTGAGTTCGGAACTTCCGATCCGGTGACTGACGAATCGCAACGTTGGTGCGTGATTTTTGGTACCACCTCGCCAGCGGGCCGATTATTGAAATTTATAGACAAAGCTATAGACAAAGACGACAAAAAGGATTTGGAGGGATCCTATTGGTAGAAGCAGGTGGTGGCAATGGACATAGGAGGTAGATAATGGACTAACTAACGGCAACCCACTAAAGACCCGACAGTTAGTCTATCATTTTCTTCCTTAGTCTATAAGAACCAACCATGTCAACCAATAAGATCGCTCCATACTCCCTATGTCTTCTTTGTCTATCGCTTTGTCCATCGATTTCAATAATCGCCCCGCAGGTGGTTCTAAAACAGGTTCGACCTATCGACAACCACGGATCTGATTGGGCGAATCTGGTAACAACGGTGTCCACTGGTGTTGGTGATTGATGAGACAAACCGGAACAGAACTTCCCATAGAGGTTCGGAACTTCCATTAAAATTCGCTTTTGAACATCAGTAACGGGTGCCGCATAAATAGATTTGGAGACTTAAACGCACGGTGAAGAAAGTAAGCGAGCTGAATTCCTCGGCTAGTGCCGCTATTTATCCAAACTATCTGTATTAACCTTTAGTGCGCTATTTAACTTAAGTAGATCATGGTTTTATAGCCGGAAGTTTGAATTTATGCATCGAAAAACGAAGCGGTAGTACAAATATCTTGACTTCAGGTTTTCCGGAGGAGGATCGCTTTCCTGTAGATGGTCTCATGAGATGATTTCTCTCCTAATGTTTTCCAAAATATTTAGGGGCAAATCCAGGCTAGTACAGTATTAGTATTGATTCTGCACGCTAACTATTGTATTTGGAAGACAAAGCGATAGACAAAGAAATAATAGAGAGAATTGAACGATCTTATGTAGAAGACGGTGGATGAAATTGACAAAGAAGGTATTAACGGCAAACTACAAGAGATTAGTTGGTCCGTCATTTTCCTCCTAAGTCTAATAACAAACACCCCTTTCAACCTATAAGATCGCCCCCATTTCCCTTGTCTTCTTTGTCTATCGCTTTGTCTATCAATTTTAACTATCAGCCACCGCCCCCCCCTCCCGAAATGTCAAAATCGGCGCCTTTGATAAAATATGAATTCCATGAAAAACTTGTCAATATTTTTCTTCCAATTTTTCAGAAAATTAGATTCGCAGTTTCATCTGAAGTATCTGAAGGTTAAACACTTGAAACACTCCTCAAAATTAATTGTTTCATTCAGAGCAATTTGGGAACATTTGACTAATCATACTGCATTTTTCTTAACAGAGCAGTATGTACAGTTAAAAATTTCCGTGTTAATGGTTATCTCGGGATACTTTCAGTTATTTTTTTTTTTGGCCAGATCAACCGATAGGACTTGGTTGATCGACCAAATTTATGGTTAAATCGGCCGAAACCACAGGTTACTCCGAGACATCTAGGGATGAAGGAAAGTGTCCTGCTGAACCAATGTGCTCTTGCCTCCCCTCGATGCATCCTCAGAGGTCATGACCTGCGACTGCGAACGGCTGGCGCGTTGGACGATGGCCAAAGCAATCCAGGTTCGATCCTGGCTGCTCGCGCCTGATTTTTAACGAGGTTGCAAATTTCCAACCAAATGATTTGGTCAAAGTAACCCGAAGGTAAAATTACCTTCTTATAAACCAACCTAAAAAATAGTAACCGTTCGTTTGGGTTGATTTGTGTTCTACCCCCCATATTCACACAAAATTTCGGCATAGACGGATACAAACACGTTGAACAAGGGGGGTCTGGGGGGTTTTGTTCCAGCAAATTTGTAAAATTTAAAGCATCTGAAATGCAGTTTGAGTCAAATCGGTCATGAATAATTACCAAGTATAAGCGCCCCCCTTTTCTTTCCTCTCTTTTTCGGACGAGCGGGGGGAGGGGGTAGCGGGACACCCTCTACGCCCCCCCCCCTGGATCCGTCTATGAATGTCGGTTCCTTTTTCTTACCAACGATGGCAGTACAGCCCAAGCGAAGTGACGACGATTGGATTCATTGATGTCGAATTTCGCGTCGAAGCTGTGAGCGATCGTTGTCACTTTCATAGTGAGCGCTTCGACCGTGACATCATTTTGACGTCGTCGCGACGACTAGTTCTCGAATTGATCTGCTATTTAAATCTATAGAACAGGATCGATAAGCAGGGTGGTCGCAACGAAAACCTTAATAATCGATTCTTTACCCTAGCTTTAAATGGGGAAAATCAACAATCGACCATTCAGGCCTCGCCACTGATCGCGTTATAGCAGACAATAATTCACTCGATACGTGAAAAGTTGGAC